ATATAATGACCTTACTCAGACAGGAACATAAAATGTTATGATCGTACCAAATGGACTAACTGTTGTATGGGAGGGTTGAACCAGTTTTAATGCAGCTTTGGTATTGTAGGGCATTGCAATGGTTCCGATAGATTATTGGTTAAAATGTAAAGAATTAACATTCGCTTTTAATCTTTATTACAATAAACGTGATTGATTCAATCTAACAATCAATTCTATTTTCTGAATTTGCTTTCCTACACCACATGAAATTATGAATGTCATAAAATTTCAAAAAGGTATCTTAATTGAATGAGGTTACTTAAATATGCCTACTATACACGGATGTAAAACTGTCTCTTATACACATCTTTATAACAGCTCCTAATTACAGCTCCATAACATTTGTTCTTGATTCAGATAGTACAATTGCTGATGAATTTTGCTGGCCCAATATTATATGTAGTTTGAGAACTCTTGGTAATGAACTGCATTCTTAATTTAAAAAGAAATCTGAAATAAATTATTCTCTAACAACAAGATTTGCATTATTTATTTTTTTTTACCCAATCTTTTCAGTTACAGTATAACCAAAACTTCAGCATAAAAATAATGATAACATTTAAATATTTATACAAATGTATACGTAAAAATATCTAACTAATATAAGAAATGAATTATGAAAGTAAAAACTTACAATGCTAGAAAACAATAGCAGCAAAAGCGACAAACGAGTAGGCAACACCAAAAGGAACATGTACTCTCCATAAAAAAAGCTCCATCTTTGTTGTTTATTAATGGAGAGAGACAATAGAATTTAAAAGCCAGAGCTACATTTTTCATCATAGCACCCCAGATTATAAGTCTTTGCAATCCTTATTGCTATCGCATTACTACTATTACTAAACTATTATTATTAATAATCAGCCTTTAGACTTGGTATCAACTACACTAAGGAATACCGTAGGAATAAGTACTCCCTTCAAATTAAGTAAACTTAAAAAGTAAAATAAATGTATTTTAAACTAAAATGTATAGTTGAAATTAAATATGTGAAGATTTAAAGAGGTGGCAAATGTCCAGGGGAAATTGGCCTATGGGTAAAAAGTTCGGGGGGAAATGTCCGGGGGCGGGGAATGTCCGGGGGAATAATATGTCCAGGCTGCTCCCCATGAAAATATAAACCGATCTTCTTTCATGGTTTAAAAAAATTATTTCTACAAATATTTTTGCGTCACACAACAACCACACATACCCACGCAACACGAAGCCAACAGTCTGATGATCTTACTTTCTTTCAGATACCTGGTTGGCTGTGCACCTGTCTGATAACATTAAAATTACGATGAAAGCAAGCTTATTCGTAAACATTGTATATCGTATACACGCCGTCACCCAAAACGATCTCCTAAAATATTGAATTTCGGAATGGTGCTTCTACAAAGTTTGGAAAATGTACATTCATTATAGCATAGTAAGTAAAGCTTGGACTATGTCGTACTGTAGTTTTACAACCCGTAGGCCTACATGGTGTTAGATTTAATTGCGGCATCCATTCTTGTGTTGTTGTTCAGGCTTACATTTTTCAGACTAGAGACTGTGCTCTAAAATCGGTTTGAGAGAGTTTTCATTCATTTTGTGGACTATTTTTACAACATAGCAGATCTTAAAATTGGGCCATAAAACAATGGCATTAAACAGAAATATCTGAGTGAAAATATAATCAACAGTAACAACATAACAGAGCTAATGTGTAATGACGTACCGTTTAGTTTTAATCGTAAGATTTTGCAACCCACACTCAGCAATGTGAATCTAATTACTCTTTAAACTGTAGGAAAATAATTTTATTAACTTAATAACGATCCGTGGGTCGTAAAATGCTCTTTAACTTAAATATGCCTATAACAATCGCAAAAATATACAAATTCGTGAAAATGGAATGTAGCGTAATGTGATCTTAATGCCGTTAATGTTTTCAAAATCTTTGTACATTTATACATTCTATCATTTACTATCTAAATCATTTTAATTGTTTGATAAAGTGTAGAGTGTAAAGTGTAATACTGTTTATATTGTGACTTAAAAGCAATCCGTGGGTCGTAAAATGCGCTTTAATAGGCCTATAACAATCGCATAAATATACACATTCATGAAAATAGTGTGCAGCATAAAGTAATCTGAATGCCTTTAATGTTCTCAAAATCTTTGTAAATTTATACATTATATAATCCTGCACTGTATTGGTTTTTCGATATATTATCATCAGCAGCATTTTTGTTGTTTTTATATAT